CATTAACAATTCTGTGTCCCCAGTAACAATTCTGGGCCCCTGAGTAAAAAATTCTGTGTCCCTAGTAAAATTTTGTGTCCCTCGTAACATTTTTTCCCCTCAGTAACAATTCTGTGCCCCTGTCCCTGGTAATAATTCGGGCCCCCTCAGAACAATTCTTGTCCCTCAGTAAAAATTTCTGTTCCCTAGTAAAAATTCGGTCCCCATAACAATTTGTGCCCCTCGTAACAATTCTGGTCTGTCCCTGATAACAATTCTTTTTGCCCCTAGTAAAAAAAATTTCTTTTTGGCCCCTCAGTAACAATTCTGTGTCCCCTCAGTAAAATTCTGTGTCCCCTCAGAACAATTCTGTGTCTGCCTAGTAACAATTCTGTGTCCCTCATTAACAATTCTGTGTCCCTCAGTAACAATTCTGTGGTCCCTCATAAAAATTCTTGTCGTACCTAGTAACAATTCTGTGTCTGTCCCTGAGTAACAATTCTGTGTCTGTCCCTGATAACAATTCTGTGTCCCTCAGTAACAATTTTGTGTCCCTCATAACAATTTTGTGTCCCTCAGTAACAATTCTGTGTCCCTCAGCTAACAATTCTGTGTCCTGTCCCCTGAGTAACAATTCTCCCTGAGTAACAAATTCTGTGTCCCTCAGTAACAATTCTGTGTCCCTCAGTAACAATTCTGTGTCCCTCAGTAAACATTTCTGTGTCCCTCAGTAACAATTCTGTGTCTGTCCCTGAGTAACAATTCTGTGTCTGGTCCCTCAGTAACAATTCTGTGTCTGTCCCTCAGTAACAATTCTGTGTCTGTCCCTCAGTAACAATTCTGTGTCCCTCAGTAACAATTCTGTGTCTGTCCCTCAGTTAACAATTCTGTGTCCCTCAGTAACAATTCTGTGTCCCTCATTAACAATTCTGTGTCTGTGTCCCTCAGAGTAACAATTCTGTGTCTGTCCCTGAGTAACAATTCTGTGTCTGTCCTGAGTAACAATTCTGTGTCCCTGAGTAACAATTCTGTGTCTGTCCTCAGTAACAATTCTGTGTCTGTCCCTGAGTAACAATTCTGTGTCCTCAGAGTAACAATTCTGTGTCCCTAAGTAACGGTTCTGTGTCCTTAAGTAACGGTTCATCCGAAGTCTGCTAATTTTCGGATTCGGCGCGAATCGAAATTTTTCTAATATTCGAAACGAATTCCACTTCGCCGAGTTCGATTCGCTCATCTCTAGTGTTTACAGAAATAGGTTTGCTGTCATTGCAAAACATTTCTCCTGTAAAAACATATAACATCTACAAATAAATATCTGAAAAGTGTGGCATGTATTTGTATTCAGCCCCCTTTACTCTGATACCCCTAACTAAAATCAAGTGGAACCAATTGCCTTCAGAAGTCACCTATATGTAATTTCATCTCAGTATAAATACGGCTGTTCTGTGAAGCCCTCAGAGGTTTATTAGAGAACATTAGTGAACAAAAAGCATCATGAAGGCCAAAAGGAACACACCAGACAGGTCATGTATAAAGTTGTGGAGAAGTTTAAAGCAGGGTTTGGTTATAAAAAAATATCCCAAGCTTTGAACAACTCAAGGTGTACTGTTCAATCCATCATCCGAAAATGGAAAGAGTATAGCATAACTGAAAACCTACCAAGACGAGGCGACCACCTAAACTGACAGATCAGACAAGGAGATCATTAAATCAGAGAAGCAGCCAAGAGGCCCATGGTAACTCTGGAGGAGCTGCAGAGATTCACAGCTCAGGTGGGAGAATCTGTCCACAACTATTAGTCGTGCACTCTCACAAATCTGGCCTTTATGGAAGAATAACAAGAAAAAAAAAGGGCAGGCTTGGATCAAGCCACACATTTTGCATCAGCACTCCTGAGGAGCCCAGATGGCACCCTGGTTGAAAAAAGCTGGTCTAGTGCAAACACAGTTACTTGAAGTTCTTTGGGGGGGTAACACATCTTTCACAAGGGGGGCTGCTGTGGCTAGTAGCCCAGGTGGTCGACCAAAAGAATCCCTGAACAGGTGGAAGAAGACTGTTCTGGATGTGGATGTAGCAGCAGAAGTCCCAATGATGGGTGTACAAGGAGGAGAATGAAATCACAGGTCCACCCTGCTGGACAGACAGTATTCCAGAGCCAGCTAGCACAGTGCTCATCACAATGACTAGGACTTAAATGAAGCTGTGTGCTCTTGTGCTCTCATTCGGCAGCCAACATGCCAGAAACAACAAAGGAGGACCCCTCACCTTGTGATAGCTAGCAAGTCCAGTCATTACTGTTCCATCAGGCATAGTCTTCTGAGCACCTGAAGGAAGAAAACAAGTGAAATTGATATCCTCTGGCTATGTTCAGGAGTCTTGGGGATTGTAAGAGCCCAGGGGAGTGTGGAAAAAGGATTTAATGGCACCTGCACCCACTGCTGAACAAGGTGGGCAAAGAGGAAAACTCCACTACATTTATTGTTGCCTGATGTTCTCTTTGGTTATGTACACATAACATGACTAACTACTGCTAGAGCTATCACCAATCTCACAGACCCTTGTACATTCAAGTAAAGCTCTGTACAGGGGTGGACTAGTACTCGGGCCCGCAAAAGAAAGTTAGGAATGGGGGCCCACCTTGTCAACTACAATCTTCATCCAACAATGCTGCCTCCAAACAGTTCTCATATGCTATACGCTTCTCATCAGCAAGTTCTTCATCTCAACTAAATCATCAATGAGATTTTGTGGAAGTATGGTTCTTTAGAACTGGGCAAACTGCATGAAAACTAAGAAGTTTAGCTGTAGATTGAACAATATCAATCTCTGTGCTATAGTTTCCAAAGCTTCTTTTGGAATGCCACATGGTTTGATCTGACTAAACCATTTGTGTTAAAAGAACATACTGTACCTCAAATTAAAGTTTAATTTTTTGAGAACTTTTCTTCCAGGCTGTTTGTTACTTGATCAGCGGCTACATAGAAAACATTCAAAGAGGTTACAAAGAAAATCCAGTGATGTTATACGGCTTTTTGCCATTATATTTTTTCAGCATTGATGGAAATAAAGTGCTTGACTGAAGTTTTTCTTAAAGTGGAAATCCGCCCAAATTCTAACTAACTCTAAACTTGCAATAAAGGGCTAGCCACAAAATAAGATGTATGATACACTGCAGGAATTACCGTATTTTTCGCTCCATAAGACGCACCTGGATTTTAGAGGAGGAAAACAAGAACAAAAATATTCTGAACCAATGGACGGCAGACATAGTACAGGAAATGACCAGAGACTGTGGACACAGTGCAGCAGATGACCAGAGACTGCGGACACAGTACAGGAGATGACCAGAGACTGAGGACATAGTACAGGAGATGACCAGAGACTGCGGACACAGTACAGGAGATGATCAGAAACTGCAGACATACTACAGGAGATGACCAGAGACTGCAGACATACTACAGGAGATGACCAGAGACTGCGGACACACTACAGGAGATGACCAGAGACTGCGGACATACTACAGGAGATGACCAGAGACTGCGGACATACTACAGGAGATGACCAGAGACTGCGGACACACTACAGGGACACAGTACAGGATGACCAGAGACTGCAGGACAGTACAGGAGATGACAGAGACTGCGGACACAGTACAGGAGATGACCAGAGACTGCGGACATAGTACAGGAGATGACCAGGACTGCGGACATACTACAGGAGATGACCAGAGACTACGGACATAGTAAAGGAGATGACCAGGGACTGCGGACATACTACAGGAGATGACCAGGGACTGCGGACATACTACAGGAGATGACCAGAGACTGCAGACATACTGCAGGAGATGACCAGGGACTGCGGACATAGTACATGAGATGACCAGAGACTACGGACATAGTACAGGAGATGACCAGAGACTGTGGACATAGTACAAGAGATGACCAGAGACTGCGGACATAGTACACGAGATGATCAGAGACTGCGGACATAGTACAGGAGATGACCAGAGACTGCGGACATACTACGGATGACCAGAGACATACTACAGGAGATGACCAGAGACTGCAGACATAGTATATGAGATGATCAGAGAGTGCAGACATAGTACAGGAGATGACCAGAGACTGCGGACATACTACAGATGACCAGAGACATACTACAGGAGATGACCAGAGACTGCGGACATAGTACATGAGATGATCAGAGACTGCAGACATAGTACAGGAGATGACCAGAGACTGCAGACATAGTACAGGAGATGACCAGAGACTGCAGACATAGTACAGGAGATGACCAGAGACTGCAGACATAGTGCAGGAGATGACCAGAGACTGCAGACATAGTACAGGAGATGACCAGAGACATACTACAGGAGATGACCAGGGACTGTAGACATAGTACAGGAGATGACCAGAGACTGCAGTGGGGGGGATGGTACCCAAATTTGACAGGTACCCCCGCTCCCACTTCCATGGAGTTGTCCTCCCCATAGTCTTGTGGGACACGTGACAGGTCCCAGAAGACTGCAGGTCACCATTCACAAAGTGCAGCACTTCTCGCGCATGCGCAGTGGGCACCCGGCTGTGAATCCACAAGCTGTCACAGCTGGGTGCCCACACTGAAGATGCCGGCGCCAGGGAGAGAAGACAGCCAGTGAAAGCAGGACACCGCTGGACCGAGGAAGAGGTAGGACCGAGGAGCAGGTTCTTCTGCACAGTAGAGCTGAGTGGCCGGCCTAGCATTCTAACACGACGGCGGCGGGAATACTGGGCTGACCACTCCATATTCGCTCCATAAGACGCACAGACATTTTCCCCCATTTTTTGGGGGGGAAAAGTGCATCTTATGGAGGGAAAAATACGGTACTATATGATGGAAGACCAGGGGCGGACTGATAACTCATGGGGCCCCCGGGCAATAGGGGATCATGGGGCCCCTGTGTCTTTGCCCACCCAAAAAAGCCTATAAAAAAGGTACCAGGGACATCTCATAGGGCCCCCTACAGACCCCGAGCCCTCGGGGCGGTGCCCGAGAGCCGGAATGGTCAGTCCGCCCCTGTGGAAGACTAATTTGTATGTGCATAGCAGGACATATTGCATGCGTGATGGTAGCAATTTATTTATACCGTCTTCTATATATTTCGTGATGAATAAGAGAATGCAGACAGATAAGTGAGGCACATTGAAAGGCACAGCCAATGCAGTCAACGGCGCCTTCTGTGTAGAGCTGCAGAGGTGGCTGACCACAGATGCCCCATAGTAAGTCTATGAGTGATCTCCTGTTCGTTTCCCAGCTGTTGTCTGCATCCTCTCTCTCTACACAGAAGCCACGGCTGGAGACCAGACCAAAGCGGCTTCAGAATAGGTAAGTATATTTAGATTGATTAAGCTAAGGATGGGGCTGGGAGTAGGTTTAAAGTTAGGATTTGGGTGGAATTCTACTTTAACAAGGTTACCAGACCGCCTCATATACCAACACAACCTCTTCTGTACCTGCCTATATGTTGACCTAGGGAAGATATCAGGAATTGGGCACTGTTGCTGGAGAACATCACTGTGTTACATCTTGCTTGATGACCATTGACTTGGGGACAACTTTAGGAATGGGACAGTGCTGCTGTCCTGGCTGGAGAACATCACTATGTTTCATCATGGTTGGCATCTGTTGACCTGGGGATAGACTCAGGAATGATTTTGGGACAGCAAGTAGAAGGCAGTAAAACCATGGCTCAACCACCTACTTTTACTGACCCCCCCCCCCCCAAGAATAAACAAGGTCTTAGTCAATTATTGGGATTATTTTAGTCTTTTCTGGTTCACTTGCTATGAAAGATGGCTGACCAGTATTAAAAGTCCAGTATGAGTGAATTATTCCCCAGAAGGCCCCAGAAAAATTATACCATTCTTAGGCCTCTTACATAGGCGGCCAGGGGACAGTAACAACATCTAAAACCTAACATGCAGCCGGAGGTAGTGATACACATGCTGCAAAGCATCACGGCCACAGCAAATGTAACATGGCCTATGCCATTTTGCAAAGGAAAACAGCAACGCCTGGAAGATGCTGCTTAGTTGCCCAGTTTTAGAAGGAGGCTCAAACCTCAGTATTACCAATACAGTTCAGTCCAGAAGGTAGCGTCTGACTTCAAAATTAAATATACCATTCTTAGTCGGCACAAGGTTATAGTTTATTTTTATTTTAGTCAGTTAATTATTTAGATTAGGTAAACCTTTTTTTGATTTACTTATTATAGAAAATGGCCACCCACTGCAATGCCATGTGTTTCTTTCTTTCTGGATGCCTAGCCAACAGAGCCAGCCAGCCCTTTCAGCAGCAATGTCTCCTAGACCTTCATGAGTGCCTAAGTGTGCTGGTTTTTTTCTTTTTATTGGGGTAGTGCAGGGTGCTGATGAGAGGAGGAGGGCAGAGGATCCGTCATCGGCTGCCTAGTAACACAAGTGCAGCTTAAGATGGAGGGTGGGTTGCAGCCAGGAGGTACCCATCAGTTATATTACTGACATGCTGAAGTTGCTATGCATAATGAAAATTGATGGGAATGATGTGGCTGTGGGCCCTGGGGATGAAAAGACTGCTGCAGAGGGGCGGGCATGACATTGTGAAGAACAACAGGTAAATGACAGATAGAATTGACAGACCCCCCAGTAGATTTTTTTTTCCATGAAAAGTTTTATTGGAAGATGGCGACATACAGAAATGGCAAGGCATACAGAACAAAGACAGGTACATACTTCAGCATTCCTGGGTATTACAGGCAACAATGACAATATTGTATGCTAGAATATCAAGCAAATCCATGAAAGTTGTGAACTAGTTTGAGCCAATTACTGAAATGGCTGGACATAATTAGAAACATAAACTGAAAGCATGTGGCAGCACAACACATCTTAACCAAGAAATTATGGGTTAACATTTGTGGTCTATCAATAGCAATATGTTGTCTGTCCTGAGCCTGTCACAGAGAATACAGAGGTTTCAGAGCTGGAGTACGCCAAATAGCTAAACCTGATAAGATAGACAAAGAAAAGAGACAAAGAAAAGGGGGGAAGAAGAAGAAATAAAAAAGAAAATAAGGGGGGGGGGGGGGGGTAGGTTCGGAGGGGAGGGAAAAAAGGGGAGGAGGGGGAATAAGGAAGAATGAAATGGTCAAGGGAAGAAAATAGTTGGAGTGAGAGTCCCACCAAAGAACTCACACTGGGCTCTAGCTAACGTGTTTTAGAATAGCCCATCCTGCCAAAGCAAGTCAGCATACGCAGATAGACAGCAGTGTGATAATGGAGCTAGCATGCTCATATCTTCTGAAAATGGGAGACCCTATTCTGTGAGATGGGAATCAATTCCTCCATGTCCATTATTTGTTGATTCACTGAAATCATTCTGCTATGGTCAGAGTACGATTTGTGACCATGTGTATGGCTAAGGATTTAAAGTACAGAGATTTTTAGAGATAGGGAGAACGGCCCAGAGGAGTGTTAAGAAAGTGCCTAATTTGAAAATAGGCCCAAAAGGACACCCACTAGATATTTTTATGTAATTGCTACATGCTCTCTGGCTCCTGTACATGCAACCTATACAACTTGTATCTGCCCCTCAAATACTGTAGATTGATTGGTCTCTCTAAAGTCAAGGGTTGTTGATGTTCCACTTCATCATTCATAATTTCTCTACTTGTTGTCTTAACATATATGTCTGTTCAGCTTTTCTCTTCGTACAGTTCAGGGTTAGGCATCCTAAGCTTTGACCATGACCCTAGTAAATATCCATTTTAGTTGACCACTTTAGCTGCTGGTCTAATTTTTTCCCTTGTTCAGGTGTCTTGCTATGGTGCACGATTGATTGTCCTCCACATTGCTAGCTGAGGTTCACCATTCTTTCCACTAATAGTTTACCCTTAGTGGTAATTACCTTTGCTGGTCTGGATCTCCAGGTTGATCCACTGTGTCCTTTCTTTGGTCGTGGCAATTTCCATATTTGCCTCACCTCTTATTAGCTAACCGTCATTAGGCATTAACTCATTCAGATACTCCTTGTAGTAAAGGTTTCCACGACCACTGGATCTCTTAGTTACTGGTACCCACCCCTAAGTTAAACTGCTTTTGGATGCCCAAATGTCTAAGAATTATTACGTTCCTGAGTTCCTCAATAAACGATAAAGAAAATAAGATTTTTGTACTTACCTTTAGATGTTATTAGCCTCATCCAGGTAAAAACTAGCAGCCGTCATACCATCCTGATGCCCAATGTTACTATATAGGGATGCTACGTCAGCCGTAACAAGAAAAGTGGTAAGTTCAACAGGGACCCCTCTGATGTCATTAAGTACCTGTTTTGTGTCCTTAAGATATGCAGGTGTAGTCGATACTAAGGGTTGTAAGAAATAGTCTGTATATTCCCCTATTCTCAAACACAGGGTCCCTATCCCACTAACAATGGGCCTACCCAGGGGTTGTATAGGGTTTTTATTAATTTTTGGTAAGCAGTATAAAACAGGTAGCCTGGGAGCTATGGGGCACATAAAATCTTTCTTTCTTGTTTATAAGCTGGTCATCAATCCTTTCTTAATAATAGCCTTTAGAGCACGTTTATAGGGGAACAAAGAGTTTTTAGGAAGGATGGAATAGGTTTCCTTATCATCCAGAATTTTGTGGACCTCGGACATATAGTCCGACTTATTTAAAATAACCACCCCTCCTCCCTTATCAGCTGGTCTGATTACCAGATCCTTTTTCTCGAGAAGGGATTTAGTACTGATTTCAATGGACTGCTGGTCATTAGGGTATCTGACCCTCACAGATTCTAGATCCCTAATGACCATATCTCTAAACACATTAACATGGGAGTGAGATTGTGAGGGGGGGTTATATAGGGAGGCGGTCCTAAAGTTAGAGGTCTTCGTATTATTGGGTGAACTGGTATATGTAATGGGATTGGTAGCAAAGTATCTCTTCAGAGATATTTGTCTAACAAATTTGTGAACATCTATATAACTTATTTAGTTTCTCCTTAGAGGCAAATTTCAGTCCCTTATTCAATAAAGCAATCTCATTAGGGGATAATTCTGTACGGCTGAGAATAAAAATGCTGATTCCTGTTATACCCTTCTTTTTTTGGGGTCTATTGACCCTCTTTCCCCCTCTGTTCTTATGCTTCTTTTCCGTGTTCTCCCCCCCCCCCCAAAAAAATGAGAATGTTCAGACTGTCTAGTCTGGTTGTAATCAGAGTGATATCTCAAACGTGGGAAGTCATCATCCTCGTATTCTCTTCTGTGTTCCTGAAAATTAGGAACACAGCCTGAGAGCGATTTTCACTGGGTTAAGTTATATATGCAATTAACTCTTTAAGCTACCACCACCCCCTTTTTACGGAGAGGGGGAACTCATAATCTTAGCAATAACAAAAAATGATTTTTGCATAAACGTCTAACACCACACACTGTCACCACAGACAGGTATATTCAGAGATTTACCATATACAGTAGCATTCTTCAGGAGAAAAGGATTCTTTAAGTTTGCATTAAAAGCTTTAGGGACAGTTTAACACTTTCAAAACAGGGTTTACTGATCAAAAGGTCAAAATGATGTAAATAAAATATTTACAGAAAAAAGATGCTACAATGAAATAAACAAACCATAAAGGAACAGAAAAATAAAAAGGAGTTGAAAATGGAGAATACTTGCAGGTTTTAGCAGAGTTCAGTCAATAAACAAGGTGTTATCGACTTTCATAGTAAAGAGAGAGGTATCAGAGGGTCCTGACATGTTCCTTTCCTGTTGTATCAAAGGGGTGTTGCCAGAGACCATCTGTCCAATTATCCGGTTTAAGGGGTGGTGGCTGGGAGGTCACCACATTTTATGACTGTATCAGGCCCTCCCTTACACAGTTTTATACTAATATTAATATCTTCCACTATGTAAAGATTGCATTCTAGGATCCCCATTCAAATACACTGCTCAAAAAAATTAAAGGAACACTTTGAAACCACATTAGATTTCAATGGAGAAAAATATAATTTTGGATATCTATACTGATATGTACTGGGTAATGTGTTAGGAATGTAAGGATGCCCCATCGTTTGATGGAAATGAAAATTATCAACCTACAGAGGACTGAATTCAAAAACACACTTTGAAAATCAAAGTGAAAAAATGATGCAGCAGGCCAGTCCATTTTGCTGAAATTTCATTGCAGCAACTCAAAATGGTACACAGTAGTTTGTATGGCCCCCATGTGCTTGTATGCATGCCTGACAACGTTGGGGCATGCTCCTAATGAGACGACGGATGGTGTCCTGGGGTATTTCCTCCCAGATCTGGACCAAGGTATCACTGAGCTCCTGGACAGTCTGAGGTGCAACCTGGTGGAGTCGGATGGACTAAAACATGATATCCCAGAGGTGTTCTACTGGATTTAGGTCAGGCGAGCAAGGGGGCCAGTCAATGGTATCAATTCCTTCATCCTCCAGGAACTGCTGCATACTCTCGCCACATGAGGCCGGCATTGTCATGCACCAAGAGGAACCCAGGACCCACTGCCCCAACGTAGGGTCTGACAATGGGTCCAAGGATTTCATTCCGATACCTAATGGTAGTCAAGGTGCCATTGTCTAGCCCAGGGGTGGGCAAACTTTTTGACTTGAGGGCCGCAATGGGTTCATATATTGGACCCGGGGGCCGGACCAATAGTAGATGAATGATGTGTATGTGTCATCCATAGTAAGTATAGTAATATTCCCCCATAGTAAGCATAGTAATTAATCCCCCATATAGTAATTCATCCCCCATAGTAATTCATCCCCCATATAGTAATTCATCCCCCATAGTAATTCATCCCCCATATAGTAATTCATCCCCCATATAGTAATTAATCCCTCATATAGTAATTCATCCCCCATAGTAATTCATCCCCCATATAGTAATTCATCCCCCATATAGTAATTCATCCCCCATAGTAATTCATCCCCCCCTATAGTAATTCATCCCCCCTATAGTAATTCATTCCCCATATTAAGTCCCCAAGTCCCCCCTGTGTCAATTCACTTACCTTTGCTCCGCGCGTTCCTCTCGCCGTGTTCCCGTGCCGTTCCGGTGTAGCATGAAAATCTGTCTCCTATGAGGATCTGTCCCCCTCGACGTATCTGCGCATGTGCCAGTTTCAGGCATTAACAGCCGATCGGCGATCTCCGGCACATGCGCAGATACGTCGAGGGGGACAGATCCTCATAGGAGACAGATTTTCATGCTACACCGGTCTTCAGGGCGGACTGTGAGAGGAGCCTAGCGGGAGCCTAGCTCCGCAGGCCGGATTAAAAGGTCCTTCGGGCCGTATACGGCCCGCGGGCCGTAGTTTGCCCATTGCTGGTCTAGCCTGTATAGGTCTTTGCGTCCCTCTATGGATATGTCTCCCAAAACCTTCACTGACCCACCACCAAAACGGTCATGCTGAACAATGTTTCAGGAAGCATAGCATTCTCCACGGCTTCTCCAGACCCTTTCACATCTGTCATATGTGCTCAGGGTGAACACGTTCTCATATGTGAAAAGCACAGGGAGCCAGTGGCAGACCTGCAAATTCTGGTGTTCAATGGCAAATGCCAATCAAGCTCCTGTATTCCTGTACTGTGTCCGCAGTCTCTGGTCTTCTCCTGTACTGTGTCCGCAGTCTCTGGTCTTCTCCTGTACTGTGTCCGCAGTCTGTGGTCATCTCCTGTAGTATGTCCGCAGTCTCTGGTCATCTCCTGTACTGTGTCTGTATTTCCCTGCAGTCTCTGGTCATCTCCTGTAGTGTGTCTGCAGTCTCTGGTCATCTCCTGTAGTATGTCCGCAGTCTCTGGTCATCTCCCATAGTATGTCTGCCGTCTCTGGTCATCTCCTGTACTATGTCCGCCGTCTCCCTTTCACGTCTGTCATATGTGCTCAGGGTGAACCTGCTCTCATCTGTGAAAAGCACAGGGAGCCAGTGGCAGACCTGCAAATTCTGGTGTTCAATGGCAAATGCCAATCAAGCTCCTGTATTCCTGTACTGTGTCCGCAGTCTCTGGTCTTCTCCTGTACTGTGTCCGCAGTCTCTGGTCTTCTCCTGTACTGTTTCCGCAGTCTCTGGTCATCTCCTGTACTGTTTCCGCAGTCTCTGGTCATCTCTTGTAGTATGTCCGCAGTCTCTGGTCATCTCCTGTAGTATTTCCGCAGTCTCTGGTCATCTCCTGTACTGTGTCCGCAGTCTCTGGTCATCTCCTGTACTGTGTCCGCAGTCTCTGGTCATCTCCTGTACTGTGTCTGCAGTCTCTGTCATCTCCTGTACTGTCTGCAGTCTCTGGTCATCCCCTGTAGTGTGTCCGCAGTCTCTGGTCATCTCCTGTAGTGTGTCCGCAGTCTCTGGTCATCTCCTGTACTTTGTCCGCAGTCTCTGGTCATCTCCTGTACTGTGTCCGCAATCTCTGGTCATCTCCTGTACTGTGTCCGCAGTCTCTGGTCATCTCCTGTACTTTGTCCGCAGTCTCTGGTCATCTCCTGTACTGTGTCCGCAGTCTCTGGTCATCTCCTGTACTTTGTCCGCAGTCTCTGGTCATCTCCTGTACTGTGTCCGCAGTCTCTGGTCATCTCCTGTACTGTGTCCGCAGTCTCTGGTCATCTCCTGTAGTATGTCCGCAGTCTCTGGTCATCTCCTGTACTGTGTCCGCAGTCTATGGAGAGTAGAAGGATGACATGGTGACATGTTTGGAGTAGGAGGATAACATGGTGGGTGACACAGGCATCAAATACCCCAATAGAAGTGTCAAATGCTGAAAAGTCTGATGGAGGCTGCAACGCTGGAATGGAGCGAAGGCAGGAGATACCAGATGCTGGAGAAGTGAATATAATAGCTTTTTATTTTAAGGGAAGTGTTAGCTGTAATTGCCAAGGTCGCTTTAAACTCAAAAACAAGTTTATATTTGTTCCATATGGTAAATTAATATTGTCTTGTTGGGATTACTAGCCGAATCAATGGGTGAAAATAAATTTAAAAAAAACTTGACAAAAGAAAACTAATATAGCCATCAGATGTAAGGGCTTGCAAGCTGCAATACATGACATTTTTAGTATTTTGGTTTAGATCATCTTTAAAATCTGTATTGATTGAGAAGACTGGTGTACAGGCATATTTTCTCCCTACTTGGCACAGAAATGTTTTCTCTGTTAAATTAAGTATTGGATCACACTCCTTTGTCTCTCACAGAGCCTCTTCCTTCCTCATTACTGCAGTTGTAGAAATTGGCATATATCCCTATATCTCCAGCCAGGTCAACAAAGACCTAGAGTACATGCTTCCCTGTTTCCGAGCCATTGACATAGTCAACACACAATGCACACATTCCCTATCACAGGTATGGAAAGAATGTTCAATCTGGGCTAAGGAAACTATTTATTCAAACCACCACCCAAATGAAGGAAACACTTAGAGGAAAACACATTACAAACACATCATTAGGTTTTTCATTATTAAACAGTATTAGCTAAAAGCAATGTAACTGCAGCACAATATCTAACCTTTACTTGAAAATAGACTTCCTACCATGCAAAACTGTGGATTTACACACTGATGTTTGGAAATTAACCACTTGATCTCCAGAGGATATTTGAAGAAAAAATGTATATTATTTACTTTTGGGTATAAAAAAATATATAGTAAACTCAAAGTTAGTTATAAATTTAGGCCAAAATGTATTCTGCTACATGTTTTTGGTATAGATATTGAAATTTTTTTGCTATACAGCGCTGCACTAGTTTAACAGACAATTGCATGGTCATGCAATACAGTACATAAATGAAATGTTCTTTTTTTCACACAAATAGAGCTTTCTTTTGGTGGTCATATATTAAAATACACAGCACAAAATCCCGTGTAATATCCCAGAAAAGTGATCCACCTCCACCCTTGAAGGCTGAACAAATAAAAATTATAAACTTTTCTCTTTATCTAACAATCAAACATCACAATCAAAAATTGAACCAACAAATGTCCAAAACAAATAAACCCACACAGGTGTAAACAATTGTCCAAAATCGTCTTTTTTTCTTTCTTTTCTTTTCCAACAAAGTCTTTTTCTCAATACCCGCAAATCCTGATGGCAATATACCTCAAAAAACAAAAACTTAACATAGTGTCATACCTTAAATAATAAATACACACGTGCCACTCAATGTGCAACATGCAAAAAAAAAAAAAAAAAAAAATATATATATATATATATATATATATGTATATATATATATGTATGTGTTCACTCCGTGTACTAATCTCTACACACAAACAAATATTCCTTTGTGTACCAAAATATATAAGTAAAAACCCTCACACAACGTGTCTATTGCACAAACTGTGAAAAAACAACATATAATAATGCAGGAGTGTATCACCACACTCTATATTCCTCAGTGAACACCTTTAAACCCAAACCAACACTCTCCAACTCGTGTACTGATGGATAATTACCCTATAAGAAAAATGACAGGGCATAACACAAATCCGGGTTGACTTCTTGTTATTAGGGTCACATCCAGTCTCAGGGTTTATCTTCCATTTTCCTCATAACAAAATCAGCCATTACAACAGTGAATCCAAAGATAACATCCTTTATTGTAGCAACTTACATATAAATTTGGGATGAAGCAGCTCCTCCTCACAGGAATACAAGTGTAGGCAAGTTAGGGAACACTGGCCACATGTTCCCACTTCCAAGATGGCCGCGATCGCACTTCCGGTTAACGTAATGCGTCGATCACGTCTCTGACGTCACGTGTCACGTGTCCTGACGCGTTTTGTCACTTCCTATGACTTTTTCAGAAGGGTAATGACGTCTGTGCATCGACTCCTTATATACCGCCCTTCCTCCACTGAAGGCACTGCAAAACCGCCATCTTGGAAGCTGGAAAACGCCGCCCCCATACCTGTCCACATTGCACCTTACTTCATCTCATAGCCGTTTATCGATCTCATCCAAATCCTGTACCTCTGTATTATCATCCACAATACAAAGCATACTATACAATGTCCCATATATAAAATAAAATAAAAAATAAAATTTAAAATATCAGCATACAAATAACTCCATCTTAACATACTATACCGATATACATATATATACTCCTTACTCATATATTTTCTCCCTACCTTCCAGTCTAGAACATTCCTATAAATATCATTAAAATTCAGTGTATATATCTCCCTATGTGTATATACATATCCATATATAACATCCCCCTAACGGATATACACAATACTCCCTCTACTGGTCAATAAATAGAACAACCCCTATACTGATTAAAATACCTTACATCTCTCATATTTTCTATCAAATCCCAATGTGATTATACTACCAATATTTGAATACATCATCAAAATGTATATACCTCTACCATCTTTACCCATACATCCAGACACATATCTTAACACTTAATAATTTTTTAAATCTATAATAATACTCTAAAATAAATATAAAATCATTCATTATATTACCATCATAATTAAAAAATTATAAAATTATAATCTTATATTATATTACCTTCATATATCCACATGTTATTCGTGAATCCATACAAACTCCTCTCAGTACTTAAAGAATTTTTTTATATAATAATTTCCTATAAGATAAATATAATACCAAATGAATCTAAAATATTAAATAAAATATATATTAAAATTAAAAAATTAAAAATCGAAATAAAACAGTTCAAATCCAATTCGATATTTAAACCATTAGGCTTCAAAGTGTTTAATTTAAAAATCCAATAGGTCTCATTTTGTGAAATGCCTTTTACCCTATTACTTCCCCTCCAATGGGAGTCCACCGTATCTATACCACAAAACTTTATTCCCCTAGGGTCAGAGTTATGAAATTCCTTAAAATGTCGTGATACATTATGGTCCTTTTTTTCCTTTTATTATATTAACCACATGTTCTTTTAATCTGGTATGCCCTTGGAGTCTGCTGGGGAAGAGAAATAATACTGTCAGTCAGTATGACATGCAGATGAGTGCCGTCGATCTTAGAATCACCGCACACTTCACTCATTTGGGCAGTCACGGGGCCAAAACCAGAGTGTGGAGCCACAGTGTGGTGCGGTGGAGGCAGCAGCAATGGGAGGCCATACAGTCACCCTATGACAAAAATGGGAAACCACCAGCAGTGTGAGGAGACCTGAAAGTGGCACATGGCAGAGTGTGGCGATGGAGACAGCAGCAATGGGAGGCCGTAAACAGGGACCCATGACACACTCTGGACCTGGCAGCAGCATGAGGAGGCGGTACAGGGGCCCATGACCAGATTACGGGGCCTGGCAGCAGCATGAGGAGTTAGTACGGGGCCCATGGCAG